CCCGTGCACACACGCACAAACACACGACAGGCGGATTGCGCAATCCGCCGTGCGCAGAGGACCTGCGCCCTCGTTGCCCGCCACGGCAGGGGGCGGGGGGCAGGACGAAGGCTCGGGGGTCGGTCGGGCCACCGGAGGAGATGGGGAAAGACAAGCAGCGACGGGAGGGCCCCCCGACGGGGCGGCGCCGCGGCCGGGCGAGGCGAGGCTCACGGTCAACAGCGGGCCATGTGCCAATGAAACAGCCGGGCTTGTCTCGACTTGGCACGGCCCGTGCGCGCGAGATCCGCGCCGATCGGGCGTCGCCCGGGCCCGGGAGCTGGGCCGATTTCAGGCCCGCGCCCGGCCGGAGGGGGCCCAAGGGTGGCGGTGGGGAGCGTCCCAGCCGGCGCGGCGCGCAGCGCGCCCGGGCGCAGCCACGCTCCCTGCACATGTGCCCGACGTGAGTCATTTCCTCGGGCCCGGCCTTTGTGTACTCCCCGCCGGCCGGGTCCCAGGCCGGCGGGGTGTTGCAGCTTCGTTCGGGCGGCGCCGGGGGGTCCCGCCCGGGGGCGGTACGGCGCCTCGTCTGCGCACCGAACGCACGCGCGACGGCCCAACCGCCGGGTGGGGGGGCCCGCCCGTCGGAGCTCCACTCCGGCCGAATGGGCCCCGGGCGCCCCCCCCCCCCCGGGCGCCGCGGCGGGCGCGCTGGCGGGCCCGGGGAGCCGGCATGGCGGGCCGAGGCCGCCAACAGGGGGCCAACTGCCATCGCAAGGGGCACCTTTGCCCGGGCTCCTCGATTCTGCCGGGGCAGCGCGCAGGGCGCCCTCGCCGCAGCATGAAGTGTGCCCGGAGAATACGCGGGGGCGACCGGAGGAAGGAAGGCCGTCGGATGGGTGGCCGGAAAATAGATAAATATAAATGCCTGGTGGATGTAGTTGAGCCTGGGCCACCGGGCAAGTGAAGCAGCGGGTCCGGGACGGGGGGGACCGTGGTGCTTGGCCGCAGGGCCGAGTGCGGTGTCCCGGGGCTTGTTCCCCATGCGAGCATATAGCCACCTGGCCAGCGGCAGGAGGCTTGCCGGAGGGGTGGCCAGGAGGGGGGCGGGGGGGCGGGCGTCCCCCAGGAGGCCCACCTTTGGGACGGCCAAGGGCGGGCGCTGCTCGGCGCGGCGCCGCGGCCTGCGGCCACCTCAAGGGCGCACCCATGTCAGGCCGGCCGGTGGGGGCCACCACAAGGCGAAGCGTCGATGGTTTAGTGGTAGAATTGCCGCCTGCCACGCGGTAGACCCGGGTTCGATTCCCGGTCGACGCACGCCGCCGCTCGTTTAGCTCAGTGGTAGAGCGCCAGTCTAGTAAACTGGAGGTCGGGTGTTCGATCCACCCAATGAGCACCATTGCCTTTTGCACTGGCCGCTTTTGCCGCCGCCTTGTGCGTCGTGCGCGCGCGCGCGCCCGTGTGTCTATCTTCCTCTCCTCGGTGTGGGGACACTGATAGGATCAACGCACAATGAGACCGGGCTGCCCCCGGGCAAAAGAGAAGTTGCCTCGAACCAGGATTGAACTGGTGACCTTGTGATCTTCAGTCACACGCTCTCCCAACTGAGCTATCGAGGCTTGGGCTGCAGCCGGCCATCGGGGCTTTTGTCCTGTCGCGCGGCTGGGGCGCCCTCGCCGGCGAGGGGCCCCCCGCCAAAAGGGCCCCCCGCATCCATCGAGAGCATCGTGGCGCCCCGCCGCAGGCCGGGAAAACCACCCTGGACATCGGACACCCGGGGACTCCGTGTCCGCTCGAAGAAAGCGCCCCCCCCCTCGCCTGCCTGCTTCGCAGCCCCAGCCGGGCCCCCCGCTGGGAGATCGCGCGCTTTTCGAGAGCCCCATGAGCCGCCTCCTCGTCGGGGAGGGCCGCCCCCCGACCTGGGCCCGAAGCGGACGCCGGCCCCGGCCCTTGCCCCCCCCCCCGCCCCCCGCCCCCCTGTCCTGTGTCCTGGCGCTTCTGCCCGGCCGCCTGTGGTGAGCCGCTCCGGTGTGCAAGAGCGCGGGCGGGCGCCGCGGCAAAAAAAGGAAAGTTGACCACGATGCGGCTCGAACACACAACCTCCTGATCCGTAGTCAGGTGCTCTATCCAATTGAGCTACGCGGCCGGCTTCTGCAGGTCTACCCTGCCCGGGGGGCTTTTGTTGCGCGGATTTCCTCGCCTCCAGGAGGCAAAAAGAATGCTCCCGATCCGGGAATTGAACCCGGGCCTCCCGCGTGACAGGCGGGGATTCTCACCACTATACTAATCGGGATGGCTTCGTGCTGGTCGGGGCGACGGAGCTCCTGAAATTCGTTCGTCTTTTAGATCCCGCCGTCGGACAGCCCGGCCGCCTCGGTCCCTCCTCCCGGGCCGGCGCCTGCTTCGCGCCGTGTCCGGCATCCCCGTCCGGTTGTTGGTCGGAGCGCCCGGCATCGTTCAAAGCGGCCCTCGCCCCCATCATCGGCCCGCCCTGTGGGCGAGCAGGGGACGTATGCGCACGCGCGCATGCGTGCGTGCGTGCGTGCGCATGGAGCCATCCTCCGGGCACTTGTTGGACAGTCACCGGGCGATGGGCGGCACCGAAAGGGGCCCTCCCTCGCTGGCCTTTCCCTTCCCCTGTGTCCCGCCTCCCGCCAGGGCGGCCCCATGCAATGCAGGTGCTTTGCCCTCTCCAGGGCCCGGCATCCTGGGGGTGGGCATTCTCCTTTCCGGGGTTCATGCTGCTCCCGGTGCCCAGACACCGGCATCGCCCGCGCGTCCGGCCCCGTCCTTGGGGTCCTTCCCATCGTGCGAGGGAGGGAGGGGGGGAGGAGCCCCTTCCGCCGTGGGCCTGCTCCTGTTGGGGCCAGTTTGCGCGGTGGCCCGCCCCCGCCTCCCCGGCGGGCGGCCCCGGACGCCGTGGCCGGGCTCCTTGGCAGGTGTGTTGGCAATCACATGCGAGACCCGACGTGTTTCAGGCAGGGACAAAAGGCCCAACACCCACCGGACTTCCATCTCCCATATAGTCTAGGTGGTTAGGATACGTGGCTCTCACCCACGAGACCCGGGTTCGAGTCCCGGTATGGGAAATCCTTTTTCGACCGCCGAAGCTCAGCCAAACGACCCCGCCCCCCTTTTGTGCCCCCCCGGCCGGGGGGGGGGGGGGGGGGGGGGCACCGACGAAGAAGGGCACATTCGTGCGCGGCACGCGCGCCCCTGGCGAAAAGGCGCCCCCCTGGAGGGCGGGAGAGAGAGAGAGAGAGAGAGACGAAACAGGAGCCGAAGGCGAGCACATGCCCCGGGGGCAACCGGGCGACCCCGGCGGGGGGGTGAGAGGGCGCCGCCACCACCGCCACCGCACGGCCGGCCCCCCTGTATCGCACGATCATTTGCACACGCCTGCCCGATGGGGAGCACCCAACGCGCAGGCATCCGGTGGCCTGCCTGCGCAGCCCCCTCTCCCGGGCCCCCTTGCGCCGGTGCCCCGACTGGCCGAGTGGGCCTGCATGCTTTGGCACTTTTGGAATGGCCCCGGCGCAGTCCACCGGGCCGGGCCATTCTCACCAGGGGACCATTTTTCGTGCTTGCGCGCGCTGCCTTGTCGTTTCGCCGGCGCGTGCCGTGGCCCGGGCGCGGAAGGGGAAAGTAAGCCGCATGGCCGGGCGGCGCAGCTGTGCACACGCCGGGCCGGGTGTCTGGCCAGCGAGGCCGCCCGGGGCCGGAGTGCCCGGAAGAGCATGCACACGAACGCGCGTCCCCAAAGGCCCGGGGCACCCACAGGGGCGCATGCGAAGACACATGCTTACATTCAAACATCCACACATCCACACGCTGACAGTCACATACGCACGCTGACAGTCACAGCCCCAGACATGATGACAGTCACACACAGTCACACACACACACACACACAGTCACACAGTCACACAGTCACACACACACACACACACACACACACACACACACACACACACGCATGCATAGTCCCGGCAGAAAGGGCGGGTACCATGACCGAAAAGAACCCACGGACAGGCACAAACAGTGTATTGCATGCGCGCGCGCGCGGCCAACAACCAGACAAGGCAGCAGGCCCTTGCCCGGCCTGCTGCCTCAGTACTTGGACCAGCCGGCACCGCCACCGGCCGGCGGCGGGCCCCCCGCGGCATACGGCGGCGGGGGGGGATAGTCCGCGGGATCGCCCGGCGGGGCGGGATATCCCGCCGAGCCCGGCATCGGGCCCGGGTAGCCGGCCGGGCCGGCAGACGGCGCCGGCGGCTGCGGCATGGCCACATACCCGCCGGACTCGGGGCCCGGGCCCGGGGGCTGCGGCATGGCCACATACCCACCGGCGTCGGGGACCGCGTACGGGCTGTATGCTCCGGGGGGGCCGCCGACCGGGGGCAGGGCCTGGCCCCCGGCGGCAGGAGGGGGCACCGGCGGCGCCAGCGTCACCTCCCCCGGACCACCCGGCACATAGGGCGGCGGGAAGACCACAGCCCCATCGGCCCCTGGCGGTGGCGGCGCCGGCGGCGGGGCATAGTACGCGCCGTCCGGCCCGGGGGCCGGGGCAACCATCACCTGGCCGCCGCCGGGGTATGCCACGCCGGCCGGCGGCACGGAGCCCATCTCCACGGCCGGCTTGGCCTGGGGGTCGTGCTCGGCCCGCCGGGACCGGTAAACCACGTAGCTGACGATGGCCACCACCAGGCCCAGCACCAGGGGAAGCCCAATGCTCAGGCCCATGATCACGCCGAAGAGCGCCGGCCGGCGGGTGTAAAACACCCGCACCGAGTGGTACACCGGGGTGGCCGACGTGGCCAGGATGAGCGTCGACATGCCGGATCGGTCATCCAGCGGGATGTGCTGGTCGAGGGGGATGCGCCGGGAGGGGGGCAGCCGGTAGGCCGGCTGCGAGGAGGCCAGCTGCATTTGGATGTTCCCCGAGCCGCACGACCCGAAGTGCGGGTTGTACACCACGAAGTAGTAGTAATCCGAGGAGGAGGCCGTCATGGAGAAGATGGTCGGCTGGGTGGAGGTGATGCTCGACGTGAAGACCACCGGCACCGTGTCACCGGCGACCCAGTTGTCGAAGGTGCTCTTGCCGCGGATGATGAGGAAGTGCAGCGGGCAAGTGACCGGGCCCATGGTGATGCTGGTGGCCCCGGACCCGGCCGGCAGATGGAGCTCCATGGCATCGTAGCTGTCCCCGCGGGGGATGGAAAATTGGGTGGCCACATTGCCGGTGAGGATGCTGCTTTGCTCGGGGCGGCCGTCCGCCGCCGGGATCAGGTAGGCCCCGAGGTCCGCGCCGGCCCGCACCTCGATGCCCTCGAAGAAGGCCGGATTGATGGCCAGGCGGAAGGTGCCGGTGGGGGGCAGGCTCCGCGAGCGCGACGTGTACAATGGCAGGACCGACACGCACACGATCATCGCGAGGAAGGACAAAACCAGGCCCCACCAGATGGCCGCCGAGCAGACAACCCAGTGGGTCTTGGCGTGCTTGGGCCGTGAGCTGGCGAGGAGGGGGTGGGCAGGCAAGTCAGCAAAGTGAGCGGGAGCCGGAGAGCCGGAGAGAGGGGGGGGGCGAGAGGGAGGGAGGGAGAGAGAGAGAGAGACAGGCGCGGGGAAGGCCGCATCGGTCGCAGGGCGCCCGCCCGAGGGGACACGCACTCGGATGCCGGGGCCCGGAAGCAGTAGATGGCCGTGCAGAAGGGCCCGCAGTCGCAGCACCCCGAGGAGGAGCTCGAGTAGTATGCCGAGCCGCCGGTGGAGTAGGAGTGCGTCGTGACATGGGACCGGTGGTAGCGGCTATGGTGGTGATGGTGGTGGTGGTGGTGCGACCGGTACGGGCGCGAGTGGCTCCGGTGCGAGGAGTAAGACGGGCGCGAGCGCGAGTGCGAGCTCCCGCCGGAGCGCATGCCGCCGCCGGAGCGCATGCCGCCGCCGGAGCGCATGCCGCCGCCGGATCGACCTCCACTCCGCATGGCTGGGGAAGGATGTGGAGGGGGGAGAGTGACACAGGAAGCCGAGGTGAAGGGGGGGGGAGGGGGGAGGGGGGGTGCGAGGGGCCGGGAGGGAGGGAGGGATGGAGGGAGAGAGGGAGAAATCGGCGGATGCCATGGGCTCACGTTGCCCGGCCCTGGCCGAAGCGCCTTTTGTCTTTCACAGGGGGATTTGCATTTACACACGCGTGCGCGCGTGCGCATCCGCACACATTCACTCGCTTGGCTGTACGCGCAGGCACATTTGAGCACGGGCAAGCACTTTTGAACACGGGCAAGTACTTTTGAGCACGGGCAAGCGCATTTGAACACAGACCAGAACATTTGAACACAGGCAAGCGCATTTGAACACAGGCAGGCGCATTTGAACACAGGCAGGCGCATTGGAACACACACACACACACACACACACACACACACACACACACACACACACACACACACTAACACACTCGCTCCTACGCGAGCCATGAGGGGACGCGCGCCCACCAAAGGCCCCGCGCAGGCCTCGGAAGAATGTGGCACCCGTTCAAACACGGGCCCGCCATCCGATTGGGCAAGTAACGATCTCGGAGGGGACACCATCTCGTCGGGCGAACTAGGCCCGGCCCAGACCAACCCCTGGGCAGACGTTGGGTTTGGGCCGCGCGCACGCAACCCCGGTACATGGTGCCGAAACTTTCCCCATTCATCCCGGGTGCGGCTGGACACCGTTGGGGGCATGAGTGCGCGGGCGCACGCCACGCCGGGAGGCCCAGCGAGTTGGCGCGCACCAAGCTCCTCCTTTGCCGGACTCCGCGGAGGAAGTGGCACAGCCTCCAGGCAGGCAGGCAGGCCGGCGCCAGCCCCGCAGCAGGAAGCGCCGCAGATGCAGCAGCGGCTTGAAGCCACAGCCGGGCAATTTTTCATGCTGCCTGAATGTCTCGGCCTCCCACGCACACGGCAGCCCAAACCGGTTGGAGCACCTGGAGACGAGCGGGCACAGAGCCGAGCACCATCGCTTGGCGGCGGGGGGAGCTTGCCCGCGGGCGACTGTCCAAATGCCGACGCCCCGCGTGACCGGCGGCGTGACACCGCCCGGATCACGCCGCTCTGCGCGGTCACGCACCAATGGCGCCGGCCCTGCTCGGCTCCCTCCGACGCGGGAGGGGGCTCCAGGGACGCCGGTGCGGGCGCTGGCCCGCAGCAGAGAGGCGTGTGTTCGCCCCCCGCCCCCCCCCCCCCCCCCAGGCCTCTCGCTTGCCGGGATGCACGGCGCACGGCGTGCCATCTGCCGGCAGGGGCCGATCGACTTATATAACTCGGCCACGCGATTCCGCCATAATATCCCCCACAGGGGCCGCGCGGATTCGTCCCGCCGCACGCGCGGCCGTGTCTACCCCTCTTTTTGGTGCCTCGCGCTCGGCCCCGGGGCGGCGCCCGCCCCCCCCCCCCCCCCCCTGCCTGTGTGTGGGACTGTGCGCGCGCATGTGTGCAGGGGCGTGTGCTCGCCGGGCTGTGTGCGTGTGCGCGTCCATATCCCCAGTGTGCGCGCGCCTTCGTGCCGAGCATCAGCTTTCTCGCCCCCGCCTCGCCCCCTCCCGCGCCGTCTCTCCCCCCTCGCCCCCCCCCCCCCCCCCCCCCCTCCCCTGTCAGTCTCCCTAACATGCCACCTGCCAATGGATCTCCCGCGCCCTGGGCTCTCGCTGGCTTGGGCCCCTATTTTCCTCGGTCGTGCCGACTTTGGCTCGGGCGCGCGCGCGCGCGCGCGTGCGGCAGGGGCGCCCGGCCGCACGCGCCGCAGGCCCCCCTCCCTCCCGGCCCAGGGAGGTTGTGTCCCGGCTGGCCTTCGGCTGTTACTCGTGTTGTGGGCCCGCGCCTCGCCCTCGCGCCTCCCTCCCCCCCCCCCCCTGGGGTCGCGCCCGGCCGACCTCGCGCATTCCGCCGACACCCCCGCCCGGGACGAGGCGCCCCAGCCAAGAATGGGGGCGCGCAACGGGCAGCACGGCGCCCGGGCGGCCCCCCCTTTTTCCGGCCCGCCCCCGCCGACAAACAGTCCGGGCGGCCCCGTGCGCGCGCGCGCGCGCACGTTGATTGTCCCGCCGCGCTTGCCAACCGGCTAGCCCACAACAACCGCGCAGGCCCCTTCCCCCCCCCCCCACAAGTACGCGCGCGCGCGTCCACGCGAGGGACGGCCAGATGTCCGCCCGGCGCCGGCCGGCCCATTTTCCGGCCACCGAGATGCCGGTGCATGGCGCATGCCTTCGGCAGCCTCCCCTCCGCGCGTGCCTGCCCCCGACATCCGACCACCCTGCGCCAGTCCGCGATCGGCCTTGCCTCTGCCTGCCCCGCTGCCTCTGCCTGCCCCGCTGCCTCTGCCTGCCCCGCTGCGTCTGCTTGCCCCGCTGCCTCTGCCTGCCCCGCGCTCCTGTCTTGCCCCGCTGCCTCTGCTTGTCCCAGGCCCCTGCCTCGCCACAGCACCCTTCTCCACGCCTCGGACGGCCGCGCCGCTCCTCGCGCCGCTCGGGCCGCTCGCCGGCCGCCATGCGCCGATCCGGGCTCCTGCTCTTCCTGCTGGCCCTCCTGGTGCTGGTGGCGGCCCGGCCGGCGGCCGGGCTGGCCGGCTGCCCGGCCGGCTGCAGCGCCTGTGCCGGGGGCAATTGCACCCGCTGCGAAGCCGGGCTCTTCCTGCTGACGGCCAAGTCGCCGCACGCCTGCCTGGCCGCCTGCCCGGCGGACTACCCGAGCAAGCTCCGCTCCGGGTCGGTGGACACATGCATCGTGGAGATGATCCCGGGGTGCGAGTACCTCCGCGACACGGGCAGCGACTTCCACTGCGAGGCCTGCTTCCCGGGGGCCGGCCTGCGGGATGTCTTCACCTGTGTCCCCTGCGAGCCGGGCTGCAGCCGGTGCGCCGGGCCCGGCGAGTGCACGGCCTGCGCCCCGGGGCACTTCCTGGCCGCCGGCCAGTGCGCCGCCTGCCCGGCCGGCTGCTCCCAGTGCCAGGCCGACCGTTGCACCGAGTGCCCCCCCGGCGAGGTGCTCTCCGAGGGGGCCTGCGCGGCGGCCTGCCCGGGGGGCTCCTTCGCCCGGGCCGGCGTGTGTGAGGCCTGCCAGCCCGGCTGCGCGGCCTGCACCGTGGACGCCTGCACGGCCTGCGCCCCGGGGCGGCTGCTGCACGCCGGGGCCTGTGTCGAGGCCTGCCCGGGGGGCTTCTTCCCGCTTGCCGGGGCCTGCGGCCCATGCGACAGCTCGTGCGCCGCCTGCCTCTCGGAGGGCGAATGCACCGCCTGCGCCGCCGGGCGCCTGGCCCTCGGGAAGGCCTGCGTGGAGGCGTGCCCGGCCGGGACCTTCGCGCAGGCCGGCGCATGCGTCGCCTGCCATGGGTCCTGCGCCACCTGCGCCTCGGGCCATGCCTGCCTGGCCTGCGGCCCGGGGCTGCGCTTCCGCCATCCGACCCCGGGCGAGGCGTCCCTCTGCACGGCGACCTGCCCGCCGGGGCAGGCCGCCGGCCCGGCCCGGTGCGTCCTCTGCCCCCGGGGGTGCACCGACTGCACGGCCGACGGCCTGGACTGCGTGGCCTGTGCCGAGGGGCTGCACCTGGCGGAGGATGGCGCGGCCCGGCGGCGCTGCCTGCCCGACTGCCCGGCCGGGTCCTTCGCCGACCGGGGCCTCATTTGCACGGCGTGCCATCCGTCGTGCGCCGCGTGCCGGGGGCCGGATGCGTGCGACGCCTGCCGGCCCGGCGGGTGGGTCTTCGCCGAGCCGGACCCGGCCGCCGGGCCGGGGCTCTGCACGGATCGCTGCGCGCCCGGGTGGCTGGCCGTGCCCGAGCCCGCCGGCCGGGGCCGCTGCCGGCCCTGTGCCCCGGAGTGCGACCTGTGCGAGGGGGCGGCGGACCGGTGCACGCGCTGCGCCGCCGGGGCCGGGCCGGCCACCGACGCCGGCCTGCCCGGGCCCTGCGCCGCATGTGCCGCCGGGTGCGCCAGCTGCTCGGCCGAGGGCCGCTGCCTGGCCTGCCGGGAGGGCCTCTGGCTGACGGGCACCGGGGCGTGCGTGGGGGCCTGCCCGGCCGGGTGGTTCGCCGACCCGGCCCCCGGCGCCGGCGAGTGTCTGCCCTGTGCCCCGGAGTGCGCCGCCTGCCACGGGCCGCGGGCGGACCAGTGCCACTCCTGCGCCCCGGGGCTGGACCACATCGGGTCCAGCTGCGTGTGGCCCTGCCCGGCCGGGGCCTTCCGCCCGGCCGACAACCCGGCCGCCGCCTGCCAGCCCTGCCACGTGTCGTGCGCCGTGTGCAATGGCCCGACCGATTCCCACTGCTGGGACTGCGCCGGGGCCGAGCTCGTCCAGCAGGGCGGCCGCTGCGTGCAGCTGTGCGCCGGGGGCTTCACCCCGGAGGCCGGCCGCTGCCGGGCCTGCCACTTCACGTGCGCCACGTGCGACGGGACCCGGGCCGGCGAGTGCCTGGACTGCCGGCCGGGGCTGGTGTCGGTCTTCGGCCCGGCCGGGCCCGACACCGACCACCTCGGCCGCCCCCGCCCCCGCCGCCGGCGCCGCTGCGATGCCCAATGCCCCACGGGCTGGGCCCTGGACCGGGCGGCCGGCCAGGCCGTGTGCATGCCCTGCCCGGAGGGCTGCCTCCTGTGCGGCGGCGGCGGCGGCGGCGGCGGGGCCTGCGAGCAGTGCCAGCGGGGCTGGCTGCTGGTCCCGGCGTCGGGCCAGTGCGCCGGCGCCTGCCCGGCCGGCATGGCCCCCGTCGGCGCCGCATGCGTCCCCTGCCACGGGGATTGCTCCGCCTGCTTTGGCCCCGGCGCCGGGCACTGCATTTCCTGCGCCGCCGAGGCCGGCCAGCGGCTGCTCCTCGGCGGGGTGTGCCTGCCCGTGGGGGCCGGCTGCCCGGAGGGCCTGTACGCCGACCGGGCGACCGGCGCCTGCCAGCCCTGCCCGAGCGACTGCCGGGCCTGCAGCCAGGCCGACCAATGCACCGGCTGCCGGCCGGGCGTGCCGCTCTACCAGGGCCGGTGCCTGGCGGCGGCCTGCCCGGCCGGGACTTTCGCCGACATGGCCCCCCACCCGGGCGACATGCCGGGCGACGAGCCGGCAGCCCGGTGCGCCGCCTGCCACGCCTCCTGCGCCCGGTGCGGCGGGCCCCTGCCCGGGGACTGCCTCCGGTGCCCGGCGGACCGGCTCCTGGCCCCGGACGGGCGGTGCGTGGAGGAATGCCCGCCGGGGACCGGCGCCGGGCCCGGGCGTGCCGCGTGCATCCCCTGTCCGGCCGGCTGCACGGACTGCCAGGCCCCGAGCCCGGGCCCCGAGCCGGCCGACTTGCGCTGCACCCGCTGCCTGCCGGGCCTGCACCTGACCATGGCCGGCGGCTGTGCGCCGCTCTGCCCGCCGGGGGAGTTCGCCCCGCGGCCGGGGGCCGATCCTGCGGCGCCGGCGCCGGCACTCGCGCCCGCACCCGGCCAAGTGCCCCCCTCCGACCCGGGGCCCGGCCAGCGGTGTGCCCCCTGCGCGGCGGCCTGCCAAACGTGTGCCCACCAGGCGGCACAGTGCACCGGCTGCCGCCACCCCGCCGAGTGGCTCCTCCTCCTCGGGGATCGCGGGGCCCGGTGCCTGGCCGGGGCCAGCTGCCCGGGCCGGGACTTTGTCCCGGGGGCCACGCCGGAGGGCGACCGCCTGTGCATCCCCTGCGCCGAGGCGGGCTGTGCGGATTGCTCCCGCGACCCGGCGGCCGGGCCGGTGTCCTGCACCCGGGCCCCGGCGGGGAGCTCCTCGCCGCCCAGCTGCCCGGCGGCCGTCGGGTGCCGGCGCTGCCGCGAGGGCCTCCTGCTGCTGGCCCCGGCTGGCCAGCCGGCAAGGTGCCTCGACGCCTGCCCGGAGGGGCACTTCCCGGGTGCGACCGACTGTCGGCCCTGCGCGCGCGGGTGCATCCGGTGCGATGGCCCGGACGATGGGCACTGCCTCGAGCAGGCCGCCGACCCGAATGGCCGCCATGGCGCCCGGCGCCGGGCCCTAGGTGCGTTGCTGGCGGGTGTGCTCGCGTGCGGGGGCCCCTCCGAGGGCCCGGCGGGGGGGGGGGGGCAGAAGGGGCCTGAACCGCGCCGGCCAGCCACCCAGCGTGCCTGCTAATTCCCACCTCCCCAGCCATTGGCCTCGGCGTTGGCCTGCCCATGCTGCTGCTCCTGGTGCTGCTCCTGGCAACCGGGATGGCATTTTGCCGTCGGCGCCGGCGGCGCGGCCCCCTGGCCAAGAAGGTACCTGCACTTTCGGGGATGCCCCCCTCCGCGAGCAGCGCACTGACCAGGCCCTGTGCCCCGTCCCCCGTCCCCCGTCCCCCTCGCCGGTGGCCGGCCATGCGCCGCCACCGCCAGGACATGCTGGATGGTATGCCTGCCCGATGCTGCCCCGGCAACAGTGCCTGCTGCCCTGACATTAACCCGGAACCCCGGCGCTTCGCGTGGCCGCAGAAAACGCCACCGTCCTCAACACCATTGTCGGTGCGTGGCCCGGAGGCCTGGCGAATGGCGCCCGGTGCCCTGTCCCGGCGTGCAGACGCACCCACCCCCCCATGCCCCGCCCACCCCCCCATGTCCCACACGCCCACATGCCTCCTACACGCACACACACCCACACACCCACATGCCTCCCACACGCACACACACACACACACACACACACACATGCCCCACACACACATGAGCACTCGAAAAAGAGGCAACGTGCCGCCTGGACGGCACACCCTCTTCCCGCCCCGCTGACCGGCCTCGCCGCATGCACCACGAGGACACAGAGATTTCGCTGCCCGGCCGGGCGCTGGTCAGCCTGGAGGCGGACCTCGCCCCGACCGACCAGAGCCTGGGCAAGGGCAAGCAGGCCACCGTATATGCGGCCCGGCCGGTGGGGGCCGGGCTGCGAGATCGCCTCGCCTGCCCGGACCTGGTGGCGGTCAAGCTCTTCCACGGTGCGCACCCCCCTGCCACCTTGCACTGGGGGGGGGGGGGGCCGCTCCGGCCGGGGGGGAACACACCGCTGACACATGCCCGCGCCCGGACAGACAACCGGTCCCCCGGAACCGGGGGCAAGTCTCTCTTCCACTCGGAGGTGGCCCTGCTGTGGTGCGTGCTCGGCTGGGGGGGCGCGATTGCCCCGCCGCCTGCCCCCCCCGCCCCCCCCCCCCCACCCGCGCCCACCCGGGCCCGGCCCTGCATGCCGCCCGCCCAGGCGCGCCCTGACCCCCGACCCGCCTTCCCCCGTGAAGGATGCTCCGCGGGTGCGAGCACGTCGTCCAGATGTACGCCTACTCCGAAAGCCCGCCGGCCATCGTGCTGGAGCTCTTCCAGACCCCGCTCGACCGGCTGCTGCAGGCCACCGAGGTGGATCTCCCCCCGGGCCAGCGGCTCGGCCTCATGCGGGACATCGGTACGACAGCCGCTCGCCCCTTGCCTGGCCGCGGGCCGTGAGCTGACCCGCGCCCCCGGGCCCCAGCCGCCGGCCTTGGAGCCATGCATGCCCAAGGGGTGGCACACTGCGACGTCAAGGCGGCCAATGTCCTGGCCCGGCGGCTGCCGGACGGCCGCTGGTACCCGGCCCTGTGCGACCTGGGCGGGGCCAAAAACACCTCCGACCTCCGGGCCAGTGCCCTGGTCTCCGAGGCGGCCAATGTCGATCTCCTGTCCATTGCCTACGCCTCGCCGGAGGTGCGCCCGGGCCCCCGCCCCCGGGAGGCTCCCCGCTGCCCGGCCCCGCGCCCTGCCCCCGGATGGCCGGCACTGACCGCATGCTCCCCCCCCCCCCCCCCGGCGCGATGCCCGGATGCCGGGCCGGCGTAGCGCCTCGAGTCCATCTTCCGCCGGCAGCAGATGCCCCCGGTCCAGTACCTCCCGGCTGACATCTACGCCCTGGCGGTCACCAGTTGGAGCATCCTCACGCGCCTGCCTCCCTCGGCTGGTATGTGTACTGCGCCGCCTTGCCGCGCCCCCGAACTAGACGCTGACCTTGTAAGCCTCCCCCTCCGGCCGCCGGCCCCGGCTCCTGGGCGTGCACACCGGCGGCCCGCGTCGCCCGGCCGCGCCCAGTCAACAAGGGCCTGCCGCTGGCCAAGCTCGCGCGTGAGATTGTGGCCGGATACCGGCCCCCGGTGGATCGGCTCCGGGAGGGGCACTTCGGCCCCGGGGTCGAGGCGCCCCTGGCCGCCCTCCTGCAGGATGCCTGGGCCGGCGAGGCCAGCGACCGGCCCACGGCCGCCGGCTTCCACGACCGCACGGTGGCCATCATCCTGGCGCAGGGCGCTCCCCCGGTCCCCCAATAAAGGAAGGCCCTGCCACACGGGGCTCCCCCACCCAAGAGCAGGCACCTCACCGCCTACGGGGCCGGGAGATACATGGCCCGCGCGCGCGGGCGGGGGGGGGGGGGAACAGGCAGCCGCCAGAGGTGAAGAGAGAGAGAGAGAGAGAGGGAGGGGCGGGATGTATTTTCTTTCCCCCACGCCGCCGCACAGCGTCGGGGCACGGGGCCAAGGGACACCACCCGGGCAGGGCCCCACCAGACCGGGCCCTTAGCGGGCGAGAGCGGCCTCCAGCGTGGCCATGGCCGGGCGCTGGTCCGGGTTCGTGGACCACATGGCCGCAAGGTGGCCATCGGTAAGCAGGGCCCCCAGCAGGGGGTCCTGCAGGAAGTCCTCGCGAGCCGGGGCCCCGTGCATGGCCGGGGTCTTCCCCCCGAGGAGGAACCCCTGGATGTGGCCCTTGCCGAGGCCTGTGCTGCGTGCAATTCCCACCGGGCAGCGGGCAGCCCCCCCGCGCGTCGAGACAAATGAACAGCTGTTAGCACCAGGAGGACCGGGGACCCGGAGGGAAGACAAAACCCCCCCTTGTCGCCTCCCCACAGAGGAGGCCGGCGATGCATGTCACCCGTGCCCGGGGGGGACGTACCGCTCCAGGGGAGACGATGGGTCAGGATGTGCCAGAAGACCGACGCCAGGGAGAAGACATCGGCCGCCATGTGGTTGACGCTCGACACGGCCGACACCGGGACATCCATGGTGGCCAGGACCTCCGGCGCGGCGAAGGACAAGCTGCAGGCCGCCAGCATGACCGAGTCCAGCAGGGCCGAGCCGCGGCTGACGGCCAGCGACACGCCGAAATCCGTGAACACCGGCCGCATGGCGCCCGTCTCCGGGCACAGGCCGACCAGGATGTTCTGCGACTTGACATCGCGATGGGCGATCCCCTGGCCGTGGATGAAGGCCAGCCCGGCGGCCATGCCCCGGACCAGGGCCCCGGCATTGGCCACGTCCAGCGGCTCCTCCGAGGACAGCAGCCGATGGAGGTCCGTGGTCTCGCGGGCCATGACAATGCCCGCCGGGGCCTGCATGTACCCCATCAGGCGGGCCACATTCGGCGACTGCTGCAGGGCCCACAGGATGGACAGCTCATTCTCGAACATGGCCTGCATCTGGGCGTCGGAGAGCGGCGAGGCGGACTCCGCTGTGTGTGTTTCCCGGTGATATAGCCGGGGGGGGGAAGAGGGCAGCGGCGGTCAGATGCCGACAAGGGCGGGTGCGAGGCGGCGCGGCGCGGCGGACAGGCTGGCAGCCCATGCACACCGGCACAGGGGAACAGGCAAGGGCCCCACGTACCGTGGGCCAGCTTCACCACCAGGGCATGGCTGCCGGCGGCGGCGATCAGCTGCGGCTTCAGGGGCTCGGCCGGGAAGATGCCGCCCTGGGTGCCGGTGGCCTCGGGCGAGGTGCTGAGCAGGCGGATGTCCTTCTCGAAGGAGAGCAGCAGGAAGCCCGGCAGGGCAAGGTCTTTTTTTTTCCCCCCCCCCGGCCCCCGCCCCATTCCAGCCAGATGGTGTTAGTTTTGCGACATCGCCATGGAAGCGCCCTGTGCCCCCCCCCCCCCCCCCCGCGCATGACCGGCCAACACCCACGCACCCATGACCGTGTTGAGGACGGTGAGATCCATGTCGACCGGCGCCGCCTTGGGCTCCTGGCGCTGGCGGCGGACGGCACAGAAGATGACCAGCAGGATGAGCAGCAGGATGATGAACAGCAGCGACAGGCCGATGGCCAGGCCCAGGGCCAGGGTCCGATTGCGCGAGGGGCCGCACGAGCCATCCGCCTGGCACCAGGTCACCAGGCAGTCGGCCTCCTCCGGGCCGAGGCAGGTGTGACAGTCGGCCGCACAGTGCGCGCAAACGGCCTGCGCCTCACCCGGCCCCGCGAGCGAGTAGAACCCGGCCGGGCAGGCACTCAGGCAGAAGGCCTCGTCGGACTCCGACAGGAAGAGGACCATCGGGTCCTTGCACAGGGAGCACTCGCCGGCCCCGGCGCACTGGACACAGTGCTCGACGCAGGGCCGGCAGGCCCGGGCCGCCGGGTCCCCCATGTCCAGCCAGAAGCCGCGGCCCGGGCACTGGGCCACACACGACCCGAGCATCAGGATGTCCCGGGCCCCGGTGCAGGAGGCGCACTCATCGGCCCCCGGGCTGGAGCACGTGTGGCAGGTGTCGTGGCACTGGTGGCACCGGCGGCCGGCCGGCTCGGCGAAGTACCCCACCGGGCAGGCCGCCACACAGGCCAGGCTGTCGGCCAGCAGGGTGCCCTCCGGGCAGGAGGAACAGGCGTGCTCGTCGCCCGGCGCATGGCAAGAGCCGCAGGTGTCGTGGCAGGCGGCGCACAGCATGACCCCGGCATAGTCGCCGGTCCCGGCGACGGCCACCTCACCGGCGGCACATTCGGCCACGCACTGGCTGGTGCTGGTGCGCAGCTTGTGCCCCGGGTCCAGGCACCGGGTGCATGTGTCCACCGTGTTGATGCAGCGCCCGCAGCCCTCGGCGCAGGGGGTGCACGTCATGGCCAGCGAGTCGGTCAGGAAGCGCTCCGGGCACACGGTGTAGCACATGCCGGCCGCATAGTCGGCATAGTGGCCCGGGGCGCAGGCGGTGCAGACCCCGGTGCCGGGGGCGCACTCGGCGCAGCCGAAGTCGCACGGGCTGCACTCGGTCCCCTCGGCCAGCGGGTAATACCCGGCCGGGCAGCCGGCCACACAGGTGTACTCGAAGAGCAGGGCCCCCGCCTGGCAGGACATGCAGTCGGCCGGGCCCGGGCCGAAGCACGTCCGGCAGTCCCCGTGGCAGGCCCGGCACTCGCCGGCCAGGGCATCCGCATACTGGCCGGTCGGGCAGGTGGCCACGCACTGGTGGCCCAGCCCCCCGGGGGAGGCCATCCGGAAGGACCCCCGCGGGCAGGCCGTGCAGTCCCCCGGGCCGGATCCGACGCACTGCGAGCAGCTGGCATCGCACCGGGCACAGGCAACCGACGAGGCCTGGTACCAGCCGGTGGTCGAGCAGGCCGACCGGCACTCGCCCCCCTGCAGCAGCTTGTTGGTCGGGCAGGTGAGGCACTGGTTGCTGCCCGGGCCGAAGCACGCGTCGCCGCAGTTGCCGGAGCACCGGGCGCAGTAGCCCGAGGCCGTCATGGCGGCGTAGCCCGGCGGGCAGGCAGCGACACAGAGGCCATCGAGGGCCAGCCCCGGCGACTGGCACACCATGCAGAAGGTCGACTCGTCGGGCATCCGCCGGCACAGGTCGCACCCGGGCTCGCACTCGACGCACTGCGACGGGTCATTCATGCAGTCCGGCACGCACATGCCCTCGGCCAGGGGCGGGTCCACCGGCGGGATGGGCTGGCGGATGGTCAGCGGGTCGTCGCAGGCGGTGCACTGGTCGGCCCCCGGGCCGGCGCACGCGGCGCACAGCGGGTGGCACGCCAGGCAGGCGGTCCGGTCCGAGTCATTGGGATCCGCGCCGGGGAATGTCCCGGCCGGGCAGGCGGCCAAGCACTGGCCCTGCAGGCGGACCCGGTCCGCCGCGCACACCTCGCACGCGGCGGCCTCCTGGCAGGCGTCGCAGCCGGCCGGGCACATGGCGCAGACATTGCCCCGGTCGAAGTGCCCCCCGGGGCAGCCCTCCAAGCAGGCATGCTCATGGAGCGGGTAGCCCGGCGCGCAGACCAGGCACGTGGTCTCGTCGTGGCAGGTGCTGCAGCTGGCGCTGCAAGGCACGCAGGCCCCATCGCGCGGGAAGAACCCAGCCGGGCAGGCATCCACACAGGCATCCTGGTGGAGAAGCGAGCTGCTGGCGCAGGCGGTGCACTCGGTCGGACCGGCGCACACCGTGCAGTCGGCGGAGCAGGCCGCGCAGCCGGGCCCGGAGGCAAAGAACCCGGCCGGGCAGGCGGCCACACAGGCGCCCTGGTGCAGCAGGTGCGCCGGCTGGCAAGTGGTGCAGGTGTTGGCCCCGGTGCAGGTGGAGCAGGCCGACGGACAGGCGGTGCACGCGCCGGCCGCCGCGAAGAAGCCCCCGGGGCAGGCAGCCACACATGTGCCGGCATGCATCAGGTGGCCCGGCTGGCAGGAGGTGCAGGCACTGCCGGGCCCGGTGCAGGTGGAGCAGGTCGGCGGGCAGGCCGAGCAGGCCCGGCTGGCGGAATCCGCAAAGAACCCGGCCGGGCAGGCGGCGCTGCACGACGCCTCATGCAGGAAGTGCCCGGCACTGCAGCCGGTGCAGGTGCTGGCCCCGGTGCAGGTGGAGCAGGTGGCCGGGCAGGCCGAGCAGGTGCTGTCGGCGCTGTTGGCGAAGGTGCCCGTCGGGCAGGTGGCCCCGCAGGTGGTGCCATTCAGGAAGCTGCCGGCCCTGCAGGCCGTGCAGGTGCTGGCCCCGGTGCAGGCCGAGCAGGTCGACGGGCAGGCCGTGCAGGTGTTGTTGGTGCTGTTAGCAAAAGCGCCCGCCGGGCAGGTGGTCCCGCAGGCGGAGCCATTCAGGAAGTAGCCGGCCTTGCAGGCCGAGCAGACCGAGGCGCTGGTGCAGGTGGAGCACCCGGCCGGGCAGGAAGAGCAGGAGTTGTTGGCGCTGTTGGCGAAGGTGCCCGCCGGGCAGGTGGCCCCGCAGGCGGTGCCGCTCAGGAAGTAGCCGCTCTCGCAGGTGGAGCACTCGGTGGCGCTGGTGCAGGTGGCGCAGCCGGTGGGGCACACCTTGCACGAGGCAGACCCCGAGTCCGGGTAGTTGCCATTCGGACAGGTGGTGCTGCAGGCGCCCGAGAGGAGGAAGTAGCCGTCCTTGCAGATGGTGCACGCCGAGGCGCCGGTGCAGGCCGAGCAGGTGGCCGGGCAGGCGACACACGCGCCGGCACTCGGGAAGAACCCCCCCGGGCAGGCCCCGACACAGGCCCCATTGTGCAGGAAGGTCCCGGCGGCGCAGGCGGTGCAGCTGGTGGCCCCGGTGCAGGCGGTGCAGCTGGCACTGCAGGGGGCGCAGGTCCGGTCCGAGCCATTGGGGAAGGTCCCCGAGGGGCAGGTCACCAGGCAGGCCGAGCCATGCAGGAAGTGGCCGGTCCCGCAGGCCGAGCAGGCGCTGGTGCCGGTGCAGGTGGTGCAGCCGGCCGCGCAGGCGGCGCAGGCCGACCCCGACGCGAAGAAGCCACTCGGGCAGGAGGACACGCAGGCCCCCTGGTGCAGGTAGCGGCCGGTCCCGCAGGCGGTGCAGGCAGCGGCCCCGGTGCAGGCGGTGCAGCCGGCCGCGCAGGCGGCGCAGGTGCCATTGCTGGCGTTGGCGTAGAAGCCACTCGGGCAAGCGGCCAGGCAGGCGGACCCGGCGTGCAGGAAGAACCCGCTGGTGCAGGTCCCGCAGGCCGAGGCGCTGGAGCAGGTGGCGCAGCCGGCCGGGCAGTCGGTGCAAGTCCCATCGGCGCCGTTGGCGAAGGTGCCGATCGGGCAGGAGGTCGGGCAATTCCCGTCATGCAGGAACCGGCCAGCGACACAGCTGTCGCAGGACATGGCCTCCGAGCAGCCGGCGCAGGTGACCCCGCAGGCGGTGCACTTCCGGTCGCTGGTGTTGGGGAAGGTCCCGGCCGGGCAGGTGGTCCCGCAGGCGGTGCCGCTCAGGAACCGGCCGGCCACACAGGAGGTACAAGCCGAGGCACTGGTGCAGGTGGCACAGCCGGCCGGGCAGGCCGTGCAGGTGCCATTGGTGCCATTGGCGAAGGTGCCCGCCGGGCAGGTGGCCACGCAGGTGCCCGCATGCAGGAACCACCCGGCCCGGCACTTGGTGCAGGCGCTGGCATTGGCGCAAACGTCGCAGCCGGTGATGCACGCCGCGCAGGCGCTGCCGTTGGCGAAGAACCCGGTCGGGCAGGCCGTCACACAGGAGGAGCCCGCATGGTGCAGCCAGCCGGCGGAGCAGGTTGTGCAGGCGGTCGGGCTGCTGCAGGTGGCACAGCCCCCGGGGCAGGCCGAGCAGGCCGTGCCGTTCGGGTAGAACCCGGCCGGGCAGGCGGTCACACAGGCGCCCTGGTGCAGGTAGTTGCCGGCCTTGCATGTGGTACAGGCAGTGGCCTCGGTGCAGGCCGAGCAGGTGGCCGGGCAGGCAGTGCACTTGTTGTCGGCCGTGTTGCCGAAGAACCCGGCCGGGCAGGTGGTCCCGCAGGCGGAGCCATTCAGGAAGTGGCCGGCACTGCAACCGGTGCAGGTGCTGGCCCCGGTGCAGGCCGAGCAGGTCGACGGGCAGGCCGAACAGGTGTTGTTGGTGCCATTGGCGAAGGTGCCCGCCGGGCAGGTGGCCCCGCAGGTGGTGCCATTGAGGAAGCTGCCCGCCTTGCAGGCCGTGCAGGTGGTGGCCCCAGTACAGGCGGAACAAGTCGAGGGACAGCCCGAGCAGACCCCGTCGTTGGGGTAGAACCCGGCCGGGCAGGCGGCCACACAGGCACCCTGGTGCAGGTGGTTGCCGGTCTTGCAGGCCGTGCAGGCAGTGGCCCCAGTACAGGTGGAGCAGGTGGCCGGGCACCCAGTGCACTTGTTGTCGGCCGTGTTGCCGAAGAACCCGGCCGGGCAGGTGGTCCCGCAGGAGCTGCCATTCAGGAAGTAGCCAGCCTTGCAGGCCGAGCAGACAGACGCACTGCTGCAGGCGGAACAGCTGGCCGCGCACGTCGTACAGGTGTTGTTGGTGCTGTTGGCAAAAGTGCCCGTCGGGCAGGTGGCCCCGCAGGAACTACCATTGAGGAAGCTGCCCGCCTTGCAGGCCGTGCAGGTGCTGGCCCCGGTGCAGGTGGAACAAGTCGAGGGACAGCCCGAGCAGGCTGTGCCGTTGGGGTAGAACCTAGCCGGACAGGCGGTCACGCAGGCACCTTGGTGCAGGTACCGGCCGGCGGCGCACGTCGTGCAGGCGGAGGCGCCGGTGCAGGCCGTGCAGCCGGTCGGACACGTCGTGCAGGTGTTGTTGGTGCCATTGGCAAAAGTGCCCGCCGGGCAGGTGGTCCCGCAGGTGGTGCCGCTCAGGAAGTAGCCATTCCCGCAGGCCGAGCACTCGGTGGCGCTGGTGCAGGTGGCGCAGCCGGTGGGGCACACCTTGCACGAGGCAGACCCCGAGTCCGGGTAGTTGCCATTCGGACAGGTGGTGCTGCAGGCGCCCGAGAGGAGGAAGTAGCCAGTCTTGCATGTGGTACAGGCAGCGGCCCCGGTACAGGCCGAGCAGGTGGCCGGGCACCCAGTGCACTTGTTATCGGCCGTGTTCCCGAAGAACCCGGCCGGGCAGGTGGTCCCGCAGGAGCTGCCATTCAGGAAGTAGCCGGCCTTGCAGGCCGAGCAGACAGACGCACTGCTGCAGGCGGAACAGCTGGCCGCGCACGTCGTACAGGTGTTGTTGGTGCTGTTGGCGAAGGTACCGGTCGGGCAGGTGGCCCCGCAGGAACTACCATTGAGGAAGCTGCCCGCCTTGCAGGCCGTGCAGGTGCTGGCCCCGGTGCAGGTGGAACAAGTGGAGGGACAGGCCGAGCAAACCGTGCCGTTCGGGTAGAACCCGGCCGGGCAGGCGGTCACGCAGGCGCCCTGGTGCAGGTACCGGCCGGCGGCGCACGTCGTGCAGGCGGAGGCGCCGGTGCAGGCCGTGCAGCCGGTCGGACACGTCGTGCAGGTGTTGTTGGTCCCATTGGCAAAAGTGCCCGCCGGGCAGGTGGTCCCGCAGGTGGTGCCGCTCAGGAACCGGCCCGACACACAGGAGACACAAGCCGTGGCACTGGTACAGGT